CATAACTCAGTCTCTAATGTTTTTCATTGTTCATTTTTTATTTATAATAGGGTCGTGTTACTACCGCGAGACTGTTGACTGTACAAAGAATCGATACTCATCACACTGAAGTTACATATGGTGAGTCTTTGCATGTTGTTAACTTGGAAAGGAGAAAATGCACATGCCGCCGTTTCCAGCTGGAGAGATTACCATGTTCACATGAAATTGCAGCTGCGGAGTCCAGGAATGTTTGTCGTATATCCCTGTGCAGTCCTTACTATACCAGCGCTTATTTGGTGAGCGCATACGCCAATTCAGTTATGCCGGTTGATTCAGCGCTACCAGTTCCAGATAACGTGGTTAACCTAGCATGCTTTCCCCTGTCTATTCGTCTTCAGCCAGGAAGGCCTAAGAAAAATAGGATGAAATCTTCTTTAGAGGTTGCACTTGAAAACAAACGTCCTAGGAAAGAACAAACATGTTCTCGTTGTAGACAGAGTGGACATAATGTGAAACCTTTTCCGATTTAAAAGTGTTGTATTGATATGTAGACTATGTTGTATTACAGCTGAGTTATTGATTTTAATGTTTCTAATTAGGACTGAGTTATAGTTCTACTACGGCTGAGTTATAGTCTACTACGGCTGAGTTAAATAAAAGGCTGAGTTAGAGTATACCGTGGCCCAGTTAAATAAAAGGCTGAGTTAAATAAAAGACTGAGTTAGAGTATACCGTGGCCCAGTTAAATAAACTTTTGGTTGTATTACATCTGGGTTATGGATTCTAGTATTTTTCTTTGAAATTTCAATTTCTGTATACGGCTGAGTTAACTAAATAATGTGACCGAGTTATTAATTAGTTGATAATACGAGAGATCTCATAATACAAAGTGGCTGAGTTAACTAAACAATGTGACCGAGTTATTAATTAGTTGTTAATACGAGAGATCTCATAATACAAAGTGGCTGAGTTAACTAAACAATGTGACCGAGTTCTCATCAGGCTGAGTTAGTGAAATTGACGGATGAGTTATTATTCCCAACTGGCTGAGTTACTGAACTTTAAGGCTGAGTTATTGAAATAGACGGCTGGGTTATTATTCACAACTGGCTGAGTTACTGAACTTTAAGGCTGAGTTATTGAAATAGACGGCTGGGTTATTATTCCCAGCTGGCTGAGTTATTGAAAGTTAAGGCTGAGTTATTGAAACTAATGGCTGAGTTTTTGAAATTGACGGCTGAGTCGAAGAGACTAAAAAGGAATACATTATAAGTCCAAAAGAAGCAGAGTACATTACAAGAGTTATGAGAAGGAAACAAACCAAAGGACCTAGCTAGTACATTCATTACAACCTTAGGCAGTACGACCGGTGAGACGAAGGGACGACGAAGTTGAGCCAGAAGGAATGTGACCTGCATAACAAGACAAATTATACTAAACTCAGCCATAAGAAAGAACACTCTTCGCAATTCAACTCCAACAGAAAAGACTCACCACTCTTTCTGGTCAATTGTTTGCTCAGTATTTGGCGGCACTCTTCGCTTTCAGGACATACACACATCAGTGGAGCAGTTTTGCCATCTCCAACCACATTGAACACAATTAAGTCTCCTATGTCGTATCTGTTATCAAAACAAAACTTTCTCCAGCCTTTTCTGATGTAATATATGCCGCCTGATTCGTTAAATCGCAAACTCACAGTCCATGAGTTTCCTTCTTTGTTCACTAGTATCGTCTCTTGGCATTGTTTCTTCAAAGCAGTAGAACGCGTAGCAGCCACAGGAAGATGCTGCAAACACAGAACGTTAAGATGCTGCAAAAATAGAGACACAAAACGTAAACTACTCACAAGTTTGTCTTCTTTCAGATTTGAAGCAGTGACCTCAGTTAAAAAACAGTAGTCGAATGAGAAAGAAGACAACGCCCATGTTCCTCCTGAAACATAAGAAACAATTTTCCACATCAAAAAAAATCTGACATGATTGCTATCCTATTACGGTTAACTTTGATTGAAGCATCACCCGCAGCATCATCATTCGCGTCGGCTTCCTCCTTGATGATGTGAGGATGTGTATATTGAATCTCACAACAGCTAGGACCAAAAGGAGTGACATGAAACACCATGTCTCCTTCGAGTTTGAAAATGGCAATGTCACCGATTCGAAGGTCATGTGCCCTG